TGGTGAGTGGAGATGATAGAGTGTGCACTATTCAGAGAAACCCGAGAGAAAATGGTTCAAATTCCTAAAGCAAAATGGAACCCTTCCAACACCCTCTTATTTTCGCTTTGGACGAGCCAGTGACCAAGTCGCTTGCACGTGTTGACACCTTGACGCAGGGTGAATATCGGTCGAGGAAATCCTCGACAGGGGGGTCGTACCTGTCGGGCTGGTCATGGGGGGTCGTACTCTTGGGGGTCAGTAACAGCAGTGGTATCGTGGTGCAGATAGGTAAGAGGGTATAGCGCAGCAGAAAATGAAAATATCTGAAAAAACATGATATTAAATTTTCTTTGCAGGTTCAGTCGCTCCATTCCTCCACCTTCATGAGAAGGGCGTATTTGAAGGCAGTACAAAGAATGAAAGTGCATCCCCGCAAAGAAGACTGCCACATGTGCGCACGCGCTGCAAAGGCACCTCCTCTGCCTATCGCTCGCTCCTTCTCCCTTAATACCTCGCTGAGAATGACACTGTTGTTAGGGACCCTGTCGCAAAAACGACAACCGTGAAGGAAAAGCCTGGGCAAATGAAGTTGTTCTTTAGGTTGTAGGAGTTACGAAATGCGTTTACTACAATGCAGCTTCTGTCAACTGGTCATGATCATATGACACCTTCGAATCGATTCTGCAACTTCGAGTGAGGTCGGATGCATGGCCTATACTCAGACAAAATTCGATGATGACGATTGCCCTTTTTCCTATTGCTTATGTTGGGAGGATGTTTTCTAGACCCATTTCAAGCGTTGCCAACAATTACACTTGCAATGGTGAAGAAGGGAGCGGATTTTCAGGTGGCCGGATCCGTCCTCGATACATACTCGACGCAGATATCTTCTCAACTAGGAAATGTAGAAGAAAGCTAAGAAGACCATCAGAAAGCGCAAACCTTCCGCTTTCCAAAACTATCTTCCCTTTTTCAGGATCTCACGTTTTAAGAGAGATATTGCTCTTGAAGTGGCAAAAACTCGCGTGAAAATTTCAGTCCTCGACGTTTACTCGACGAAATTTGAGAGACCCTATCTTTCTGCATGGAAGGCTTTCAGAGCAATTTCAATACTTCTTGGAAACGCGAAATCCAGCTCTATCTAACCCTACCTCAAACTGCTTCAAAGGTTATGAAATGGAGGAATGCAACCTTTTCATCGAGGGTGTAGATTTCGACGGTTTTTTTTTGAAATTTCGGCAAATCTGACCCAGTGACAATCGCGCCGCAGCTGCCGTTGAATCGGCCTTTGATACACTCGGCTGTTTCGATATACTCAAGCAAGAATCAAGATTGAATCGCAACCCCGTGCCTTCAGGATTTCTGTGCATTTCTGAACGAACCTGACTTTGAGGTCACACAAAGTTAATGCCTCTTTCCTCGAGTCGATATTTCAGTAAATACACAAAAGTGTGCAGCGATGAAAGACAGTGCATAGATGACAAGATGAGGCGTCCATAACATTATTTTGCAGGATTTTTTTTGATTAATTAATTGAATTAATTTGCTCTGTTTTAGGGGGTCGTGCCAGGATCTCGATTTCGGGGGGGGTCGTACTTCTGCGACCACGTACTCGACACGATTTTCACCCTGCCTTGACGACATCGCGTGTTTTGGCATTTTGCACCGCGTGGGACAGGAGCGATTTTTTGCGAGCGCGCCGTCCTCACCTTACTTCCGCTTATTTTCTGTTCTAAAATGCCAACAACTTGAACCTCTTTACTATTTTGGCAAGGAAGAAAGCGTGGAGGTTACCTATCAGAATATCAGTGGAACTCTGATTAGAAGAACGCATAATGACCATGAAGAGGCAGAAAAGATCCACATTTGCTGCGAATGAAGAAGCATTCCTTTAGTCTTTTCATTAAATACAAATATTGGAAATCTCCAGAAAGTCTTAAGTACGGAATAAACACCTCCGAGTGCAAAGATGTTCAGATACGCGTGATTTAATTAACTTTTTATACAGCATATGAATGTTTATGACAGCGAAAGGAAAACTAGGAAAAATTGAACTGAAAATTCTGTGCGTTCAGAAAATCTTTGCTAAATCAAGGATATTTGACCACTCTGGCTGCCATGTGGTTTATAGTTATGCTAATGTATTATCTATAGAATGAATACAAAAAACTCGAGAAGAAGGAGCGCAAGCACGATAAAAGTGAATGACGTGGTTCTGACGCGCATGCTCGTAAGCTCGTCAACGTGTTAATCCCAAGAGCCAGTGCCATGCAAACAAAACAGTTATTTAGTGTCGATAATGAGCTATTTGGGAAATCTCAAACATACAGCCGTTCAGCTGTTGAGCTGCTCGTCCAAAATGAAGAGCAAAGTACGAAGATAACAAAATCAGCATTCATGCGCTCATAACCCAAACCCACCATTCGGCTGTAAGCCGCTTCACGGCAGGTGTCGCTCACTAGGAATGGGGCTGGCGATGGAAGCGTCATGATTAACGCCCCTACCTGCTTCTTTGGGACCCGCCTTAATTCTGTAGTCTGCATATCTCCTCTTTTCCCACTCCAGTTCATTTTTGACATCCTAACATATTCCTTCAAGAGTTTCATTTCCAGTCTAAATGGCTCTCAGTGCTTTTCAACGGTGAAGTGTTAAATGGAATGATGGAGATCATAAAACTCGATTGCTCAACCTTTTCAAAAAGGTTAATTCAAACTAAACTAGTCCAGAGAGTGGCGCCTTTCAGAGAGAGACCATTTCTTCTGTGGCAAACACAAGAACCTTCTAGACCTGGAGCTACAAAGCTCCGTCTCCAAAAGATTCTTGTGTTTGCCACAGAAGAAATGGTCGGAAATTTATGGTTTTGGGGAAGAAGCGCGATGCTAAAATAACCTGAAAGTGTAATCATATGTGACTCATGGAGAGCATATCAACCATCGAGATTGCAAGCAGGAGACAGGCACCTTATTGTGAACCGCATGCCTAGATTTGTCAATCGTTACACTGGCGCTCACCCAGAACATTGAAACTTCGTAGGGGCACTTCAAGATGGTGCCCGAGAGGAAGTGCGGTTGGATCTCAAAGCCGTAGGATGATGGCATGACGGAGTTTCTGTGGTGGGCGAGTTTGGAAAGCTCGAACATAGCTCCTTCAACTCCGACTCGAACCGGCGTCATCCACACTCACTCCAAATATTAGTTGTTAATGCTCAGATGGTCTAACTACTCGAAAATCAAAATTTTTTTGAATTCGTCTGAAATCTTTTCTCGAAAAACCATCTCACTTTTAAAAAGGGCAGTAAAGGAGCTGGCGCTCATTTATTTATTATTCTTTGAACTCGTGTTTCTAAAAATTTCGCGGTTTTAAATTGAAGCTTTTCTGATCCAATACCGTTTCACAGCCTCCATCAAGCGACATGAACTGCCAATCGCCCTGCCTACCAACCTCTGACCAGCATCCATATTCTTTAATTACGACTAAGAGATCCACAGCTGAAACAATAACGTAATATACTATCACTACCGCATCAAATCTTTCCTTCTTTTACATGTTTCATTTTCGTCTTGATAGAAGTTTATGCACGTGTTGTTCATCCACAATCCCGCTGCGGTCTTGAAGAGGCTTCTGGTTTTGTTAGCTGAACACAGTAAGGGAAATTCCACTCATTTTTTGTATATTATGGTTGTTTTTTTTTTTTTTTTTTTTTTTTTTTTTTTTTTTTTTTTTTTTTTTTTTTTTTTTTTTTTTTTTTATTTTTTTTATTTTTTTTTTTATTTTTTTTTTTTTTTTTTTTTTTTTTTTTTTTTTTTTATTTTTATTTTTTATTTTTTTTTTTGTACATTACGATGCCATGTGATCAAGTGAGCGTGACAACTAACATATATTCATGTCGAATGTGTAGTTGACCCCCTCGTACCATCTCCTTCCTGGGTATGTTTTATCGTTGTAAGCCTGCCGCTTGGATCGCCTGCCTTCGAATCCCGCAAGAATTTGATGCTGTTGCTCCCTTAATAGCGTTGAATCCTGCGCAGTACATAGAACATAAGGAGGCGGGAGCGAACCTTGAAAGAAGCATATCTCCCTTGGAACAGGGAGCTTGTAACTCCGCTCTTTGCATTGATATCTCCAATCGATTTACCACTTGTTTCCGTTCCGTCACAGGGACTTCTCAGCTTAAGGGACTGCAATGTTCAAGGATCTCCTAGTTACAAGCAATCCTCTTGATCTTAAGTGAAGATCTTTCCCCACCTTCAATCTATCCTCAAGATCCTTTTTTTGTTCTGCATTTAGAGTGAGTTCCTTTTGTATTTCGTGCGTGTATTCGCCCAACATTTCCCGAAATCCGGTCATGTTGCATTGAACCTGTTAAAAATTACAGAATCTACCGTCATACTTACCTTCTGCAATCTTCGAACGTCAATATACCTCTTTAGTTTGGGCTGCAACTACTTTTCTATTACTGGCCTCCCTTCCTTTCTCTTAGTTTTTCGGGGCTTTGGATCACAGACGTCTTGAATTCAAGACTGCTAGCGCACACGAACGCAATCAAAGGTACAGCGAGTACAAAAGCTCTCATAATATATCGAGAAATTGGATGATGTCGCCGGAGGACGAGACAGTTGCAGTAGAGAGCGAGTACAGGTTCAGCTGTGTTTTCTAAATAGGTAATATACTCGTCTGTATATTTCTTACATATCTA